GGGGGGGGGTGAGACATCTATTGTCTGCCACATACAATGCTGTTTCAACACCTCTCTCTGGGCAGGTTATTAACACCTCCTAGCTCCAATTGGCTTATCAGGGAGGAACGATAGGGAAACAATAGGTCCTTTAAAGGAGAACTATGGGGTTAGGGCTTTTCCCCATAGTTCTCCTTAGGGTAATGGGAGGACACAAACTAGCGTCCTTCCGTCACCCTAAGCTCAGTATACCACGACCTACAGCTCGCGGTACACTGAGACGCCGCAGCTAAAGCGGATGCCGACAATTATGTCTGGATCCGCCCAGCTGCGTGAGTGACAGCTGGCTCTGCCTATCTAGAGGCAGAGCCAGCTGTACCCGCCCCTCCCCCGTCCGTTCCGCCAGTCAACGCTGGAGGAGGGGGGAATCCTGTCCCTCCCGTCACGGCAGAGAGCTGTGACAGGATCGAGAAGTGAGCGAACGCCGGTATGTGTTCGCTCACCTCCCGATCTACTGAGAAAACCTGTGACAGTTTAATTGTCACAGGTTGGCTAGAACTATGAGGATGAGTGAAAAGCACTCACCTCATATTTCTCCTTTTAACTTGTCTTCTCAAAAATACATAATAGTACCTGACGGGCAGGCTCAGGGCTTCTAGAGAAACAAGATTATCAACGGAATTGGCCATTTACATCTAATGTGTGTGAATAGCCTAAGTAAGAGCGTGTGCTCTCTTTGTAATGACCATCTCAGACAAGAAGTTAAACTGTAATATGAAATGAGCACATTCAAGTTCACAGACGCCTACTAGTCCGAAAATATAACTACACTAACAATTCTCCTGACAGTTTCATTTTTCTTTCTTTAATTACGTTTGCATTGGGGTGAAAGTTTCCAACAAGTTGGCTGTGACATCAATTACCAAAACCCAGGATTTATTCTTGGCCACTCTTGTCTGGTTGGCATCCTGTCTGATTAATGAGATATCCAGCTTGACTTCATCTATTCTTGTAGTGCTGCTTGATGGAAAGTCAACATCTAGACAGTCTGTATCAGCTGCGGTCAAATCCTCATTCCTGTACCTGAGAAACGGAGAGAATAAACTATTTTAGTTCAAACATTTATTCATACATTTCCATTGTACAGATAGGATTATTCTAATACTATAAAGTAGGAGTACCAGGGAATGACCTTGGCCATTAAAACCAGTGTATAGTATTTTACAATACATGTACCCCACTATCCATGTAGTGCTACTCCCAGAGGAGCAGCTGTTGTTTGGGTCCTCCAACCCTGCTCCCATTGATGACCCACCCTGCACCTGGACCCAAGTGACACCAACACACCTGATAACAGTTTCAATGGGCTTTATTTAGCAGAAATGCCCTGTAACAGGAATAGGGTCAGGCAATATCTCAAGCCAGAGTATTAGTACAGTGCGGAACACAATTACCAGCAACCCTTCACACAAACTAAATGGTAGCACATGTCAAACTTGGAGAGCAATGGTCCATCTAGCAATACCAGGCCCTACCTAAACCACTGGTCAGGGTGAAACTAGATACAGTCTTGCCGGCATTGGGGCCCTTACACTTGGGGGAGAGCTCATGTATATGAGCAGCAATGTAGATGGCCACCCAGGGTGGTACTGGGGCAGGAGGTGGACGATGATCCCTTTCTGATGGCTATGTCAAATGTTGTTCTTGCAATGGAACTCTGCGCGTCCTGCGCTCCAAGGTCCAGTGAGTCATCATGTCCAATACAGTGTTGGACAAGAGGACACCAAGCGACATTCCAGCGTTGAAATGGAGGAGGAGATAGGCGACAGGGACCTGCGTAGCAGTCAGCCGACTCTGACAGGTGGGTATATCTTTGTTATTTTAGCTCCCTAGAAAAAACAAGCACTTAACCTTACAGTGTGGCGGGTAGCCAGGGCCGGATCCACTCTCTACTCTCTCTACTGTCCCGAAGCCAGGTTCCTCAATGCGCCCTCGCTCTCCGACTACCCCCCCTCAATGTAGAATGGCAACCAGGGCAGGGTTAGTTTTAATTTTTCTTTATTGTTTCTTTATTTGATTTACTTTATTATAATTTTTTTTTTTTTACTTTCTAAATTTTTTATTTATCTTTTACTTTTTTTTATTTGTTATATTTTTTTATGTTATTATTTTTGAATTTTTTAA